CCAGAAAGGACAATGTAGCTAAAAGAGTCCCAAACTATTTAAGGAATATTAATATTTATTCTGGAAGTCGGATGTTTCTGTAGTATTAAACATTCTCCAGCAAAATATAGAAAGGATTGTGTGTCAGGAATGCATTTAAAAACAATACTCAATGCAGACCTCAGAAGTATGCCTGGAGGATGCTGAGGAAAGTTCCTTTGTGCTAGATAGTGGGATTTAACATCAGAAAGTTATTTCACGCTTCAGGAAGGAAAAATAAAGCATCTGAAAACTATATGAAAACACTAAAAGGGAACAAGATTTCAGTATAGGCTAGAGAGTTGCTGTGTCTGGTACAATGGACTGGAAACACAACCCCGTTTCCCATGGAAGACAGTTCTTAATTTTGTCACTGACTTCTGCATCCTGTATAATGGCTCAGTTAGTTATCAAAATAGGCCTGCCAGAAGATGATCCAGAAGACCCCAAAAAAGATCTACCTTACTGGCAATGTTTTTATGTAATTCTTCAATGTGCCATTGGAAATAAAGAATAGATTCTTAATGTATAATTTTACACATACTTAATTTGTACTGTATTGGTTTGGAATAGTTATTTTGGCATTGATCCAGAATAATGGCCCTCTCACATAAAGTAATCCTATTTCTGCATTTATTTTTTGATTTTACACCAAATTTCTAATACTGTAACTGATAAGAGATTCTTGCGTTCATTTTCTTGTCAGTGTGTATGATTATCTGTAATCTGTATTAATAGCAATATGACCGTTATTCAGCTTTGAAACAAATGAGTTTAGAAAATGTTTCCATGATAACAAGTGAAGAAACCTGAAAAAATAAATTGTTATTACTCTTACTTAATATCATAAGTATGTTGACTTAAATCCTGCATCTGTGTTTTGAGAAGAGTGAGAAGGAAAGTTGTATTGGACTTTGTATTTCTTTTTTTTTTGGAAGCATTCAGAAGGTAGACATTTTAGTTTCCAAAATATAGGCAGAGAGTTCTTGCAATTCTTTCTTGTAGAACCAGACGGATAACTTTTAATATATTTTTAATTTGGGAGTCAGGTGACATTTTGCTGTGGGGAGGAAAAGAAAACTAAGGGGAATGTACATGGCTTCTTGCTGCTACCCTGAGTGCCTGTGGCATGTCCCCTTAGGATGGGATGGATTGTCCTTTCCCACCATAGATAGTTTGTGCAGACACTTAGCTGAATTTTCTTAGAGTTTATATATCCTGCCTCCCCCACCAGAACGGGGTAGCCTCTGACCGCCCTTGGGTTGGTTAGAAAGAGAAGCCGTGCCGCGTTGCTCATATTAGAAAGAGAAGCCAGTCTAGACCTTTGAGCTGATAATTCCCTGGCACTGAAACATGAGTTTTCCAGTCCATGGCTGGTCCAGATGGAGATGAGAGAACTCTCCACCCCTTCTTTGGAACGTATTCCTAACCTCTTCCCTTTCTATGAACTGATGCTTTTCTGAAGAAACAATGGGAAATGAATGATGAAAATGTATTTATTATAAAAATACTAAAATAATTTAGCATAATTTTAATAAAACAAAAAGTTGTATGCTTTCTTTTAATTGATTTATTACTCTAATACAGTGTTGGCTTTAGCATTAAATTTCACTCTATCTCACTTTTTTTTTTTGAGACAACTTAGGTCCACTGCCTAGTATTGTTTTTGTGTAAAGAGAATTAAACAGAGATAACATTCAGCTAACTTTAGTTTCCACAGGAAATGTATCACACAATATTTATCCAGTGAGAATAGCTTCAAGCAGATTTCAGTGTAACAGACAAAATAGGTCAGAGTCCATTTTGAGCAAAAGAAGATGGAAAAAATAGTTGTAGATAATTCTACCTTCATCCAATTTCAACCCGGTTTTATGGTTAGGAGGGATGCTGGATTAATCCAAATTGGTAGTGCATCGTGGAAATTAACATCTATAATTTTGTAGCATTTTGAAACCATACAATTTTAGAAATTAAATTGAATAATTTTATTTGTCAGATATTGTAATACCTTTTAACTACAATTAGTGACAATTCAAAATAGTATGTGAACGTAATTGCAGTAAAATATGACAACTCAGTATTCTCGCTTCATGTCACTGAGGATTCTGCATGTCACTTCTCTCGTGTTAACTGGCAGTCCTCAATTATCTTTTATTTCTTGAAAGGCAGCTACAAAAAAATCAGGTAGGTGGGAGGTTAGTTTTTCAAAGTTTTAAGTCATATTTTCAACTATACTTGCATTTATTGCTTTGCAGAATCTGTTTGTCCAACCAGAATTCCAGTGGCAGCTCGAGACGAAAAAGGATTTGACATTCTTGTAGGATTAGGTGTGAAGAAAAAGGTTAAAAAGAGAATTCAAATACCAACCACTAATGCAAAAGCTTATGAAGTAACCTCACGTGTTGACCTGTCAGAATTGACAAGGTATTTAAATTTATAAATACACTTCTAAATTTAGTAAATTTTTTTGTTTGCTTAAAGTGACAGCGACTTATTTTAAGATTTATACGAATGTTCGAGTACTGTCTTTTTTTCCCCCCTTCCCCCTTATTTAGGAATGTGTTTCCAGAAGGTCTGCCTCCGTCCTATGTGTTTGTTTCCACTCAAAGATTTAAAGTAAAAAAGACATGGGATTTGTGGAGAATTCTAAGTCTGGATAAGAGACCACAGATAGCGGTCACTATTAATGGAGAAGAGAAAACATTATCATTCACTACAACAAGTTTAATAAATGGGACACAAGTTACTACTTTTGCTGCACCTCGTGTAAAGGTAAGGAGTAAGACATCATCATGCTGGAATACTCATTTAAGTACACATCATTCCTTTGCCCTTTATGTTTTTTAAAAATGCATGGTCTTATTTTTGGCTGCTTAGGCATTTAAAAATAGATGGGGGGTACTTTACCCATGTTTCCAGAGTGTCCACAGTGATCGTCACTGTAAATGCTTTGCAGGTGCTTTCTACTCAGTAGTTTCCAGCAGGTAACTGTGAAGATCACAGAGACTTTTTTTCACACAGCTCTTTGCTTAATGTATGCTGAAAAGTATTTTCTGCCTTTGATATGGAGACTAGAAAATATGAATGAAAATAGTCCATTTTTAGAGAGGGTTTTGTTAAGTGCCTAAATTCCTTGAAAATACGTAATGACAGAATTTACTTTCTTCTCCAGAAGAGTAAATAGCAGCTTACAAAATGAGAGTTCAATCTGGATTTGTCTAGTTCTCTGCTGAATAAAAATTCCTTTCAGCTACTTATTTGTCTCACTGAAGGGACTCCCCTCTTTGTGCAAACCAATTTTATTGTCTTCTAGTGTAATCTGAAGGTTCTCTTTCAATCTTTCTTCAGTAATTTCCAGTGAAGTATTCAACTCTTAAAAGAAAGTTTATCTTGGTTGCAGGTGAGACAGAGGGAAGGAGATTGAATGTCTCTACTCTTGCATTTGTAGCAGTGTAGGAATATGCAACCCAGAGATTCCCATTCCTACCGCAGGGAGTATTATTTAAGTGAACAAAGAGGGATGCTTCAGCAGACAAAGAGTGGGAAAGATTTACTGCTGGAGCGCTTCATGGCCAAGTGGGTTCAACTTTTCTGGGAGGCGGTTTCCTGCATTCGAATCCTTGCTCCAAATCAGGCTGAAGGAATTTGAAATGTAAATCCTCAGAGAAGGAAGGACTCCTATCCAAGAGAAGGTCTTAACTACTAAGCTCTTGCTAGGGAGAGGCATTTTATTCTTCTGTTATTGGATGGAGAATTTGACTTTTTGTTTCCAAATTTCCTCTGCCTTTTTATAATTATTTGTAGGTGAATTTTTTTTTTAAAGAAGCAGTGTTAAACTTAATTTTCTAACAATTTCCAGTAAATACAGTTTCAGGTCAATCCGAAAATTTTTATTCAATTGTTTCTGGCAGCTACAGTGACAAATCAATCTTATTCCTGCAGTCCAAGGTATCCATGAACTTCTCCATAAAAAGATGACTTTTGCTTTTTTTTCTTTTGTGTTTCTCCATGCTTGTATTGCTATTATGGAGAACAATAATTTTAGGCCCTTTTTAGAGCTGTATGTCTCTTAACACACTATAAATGTCACTATGCTTTCAGTGAACCTTTTTATTTAATATAATTAAATATTAATTTTATTTTTAAAAATAAATAATTAAAATAAATAATAAATTGTTATTAATTTTATTATTTAATAAAATTAATAAATAAAATTAATTATGACAATTTATCACTTTTACTCAGGAAAATGGAAATGGTATATATTCTGATCTGTTGTTTATTTTATACCTTCTTTAAAGGTCTCTCTCATGTTCTGTTACTTGTAGAACTATGCTATTTGTTTAAACTAAATCTTAAGCTTTAGAAACCTGAGGTTTCGTGAGATGATGAATGTAATATTTGGTTTATTCATTGCAATATTGTGATTCTTTCTGCCAATATCATGTCGCCTTTAAGATTTTTTTCATAAGATACTAGGTAGAAAGACTTTCAAGTACCGGTTTGTTTTCACCATGATTTAAGATCTGAAGTGTTTGAGACATTATACCACTGCTGAAAAAAAGGCCTTTGGCTTCATATTTTTAACAAATACATGTTCAAGATCATAGACTGAAAAAATCTATGTGAGTTAAAAAAATAATTCTGAAATAGGGATTAATTATTACCAAATAGCATCTTCTCAATTATAATATTACTTGGCAAATACTTTTTTGCCTATGCAGTTTACAATTTTTTGTATGACAAAACCTGGAACATTGATCATCTCAATCATTAACAATAGTTTAAGTGTTGAAATGCGGTTTTATTGTTATTTAAATTGAAGACATTTTGTTTTAAACAATCCTGTTTTCTTCACTTTTCGTAGACATTGTTTGATGAAGGCTGGCATCAAATTCGTCTCTTAGTAACAGAAGACTTTGTAACTTTGTATATAGATGACCAGGAAATTGAAACGAAGCCATTACATCCTGTTTTAGGTATTTACATCAGCGGCCTAACCCAAATAGGAAAGTATTCTGGAAAGGAGGAAACTGTACAGGTAAGCATATGCTAAAACCACAATGATTCAGAAATTCAACTGTAGGTTAACATTGCATTGCCACCTTCTGTTTTCTTGAACTTACTCTTCTAATTTACACTAGGCTGAAACTTAATATACAAAATTTTAATAGTTAAGAGGGAACATAAATGGTCAGGAGGACTCAGCACAACTGATATATCCTGTACGGTGGGTGCTTAATTGGTCTCACTGACTTCAAGGGGCATCTGTTTTTGCTGAAATGCAAATTTGATGCAATGTGGTTGCCTGAATTTGGGAAACAGTGTCTCAAAGCAGGGGATTTCCTCTGTGCTTGACACTTGCATATAATTTCCTTCCATCAGTGTATGGGTTATGCTGGTAAAACAGAGAGAGAACAAAATTTTGATGAAGTTTCTTTCTCATCACTAGCTGTCACGACAGTACAAGGTGTATCAACTCTGTTTCTGTCATACTGCAAATATTTGATACTCAAACTGCCACTGTTTGAGTCTGCTGTGCTGGAACCCCCCCGAAAACCCTGTACTAAGGTTTCTCCTCTATTCTGAGGAACGTTAAAGTCCTTTTGCCTTCAGCTCTTTGCAGACACCAAAAAGCTGGTTAAAACTTCAGGCTGTATAGGTAAAGGCTGTGTAGACCAGTGATGAAGACTATTATGTTGACAGTGTTTCAGCTGTTGGCTAAATAGATTGTTTCCTTATATTTATAGCGATGTGGTAATGACATTGCTAATTAGACTGATGATAGTAATGGAAACAATACTAAGAAATACTGAATTACATAATTAGGCGTTATTTTGAAAACTATGCTTTTTTTGTACTCTAATTTAATGATCCTTACTGCTACTATTAAAATATATTAATGTGTTTCACATCATCTTCATTAACGCTCTTCAGATGTCTTTACTCATTACTCCTGAATTTTGTGTATTTGTAGCCAGGCTTCAGTTCTATTATTATCATCTTCTAAAAGTGTACATGGAAACTTGGATGATGCACTATGTGTGTGACTCAGCATTTCTGGTGGTAACATTGTCCGTATACTAAAGTACCCCTTTGTGAAAACTACTGAATGTTTGTCACAGATTTCTGATAGGACTTCAAGCACTTATTACAAGGAAAGTAAAGATTTCAGAATTGGAATCAATCGTCTCGTGCATTTTCTCTGTTGGTGCAGGATTATCCCATTTTTATAGTTTTGTGCATTTTAGGATTAGAGGGTTGTTCGTTTGTTGTGTCTTGTTTTTTCTCTTAAGTCACTGCAGAAATGGGACTTTTACAGATTCCAAATAAAACAGTTTCTGAGTTAAAGAATGTTAGTAGCAAGACATGTTATCTAAAATAAAAATGAAAACATTTTAGGAATGTCAAATTGTATAAGATCCTCTTCTGATAGTGGACTAGAAGAAAAGTAGAAAATTTGCCTCAGGTTGCAATTTTATATTTCCAGATGATTTCTATAATCTGAAAAAGGTATTTCCTTTCTCTGCTTTCTCAGACTGTGACAGATTCTGCAAAGCATTAACAGTCAAACTTTGCCAGGCTATTTCTATTTAAACTATGATTATAGAGAAATATGTTAATGAATCTGCATACTGTCTTTCAGTGAAAAGGTATTTTGAAATCCTTTAAGAAAGAAATCAATTGGAGTTGGATACAAAGTATGATACAAGAATCTTCTTCAGAGATTCTTTGGTGAATTTTCATTCTCTTTCTGTGCTCTGATTCAGATGTTTTCTAGTGATATTTTGCAAGTGTTCTTGATTTAATTAGGATCTTACTGGCTGAAGTGCTTTCCAGTGATGATAAACTTGCGTACATACTTAAGTGATGTGAATTGTAGACATTTTGAATTTGAAAACACATATTACTAGGCATGGTATTAACAGACTCCATTTTCTGGGCTTTCTTTCCCTGCTAGTCAAACTTTTGATTTCAAGTAAGTGTAACAGGGCTTTTTCCTCTCTGCAGTCATGATAGTTTATGCTAGAAAAACTGACTTCAGTGGTTTCATTTTTCTGGAGTATAGCAACAGAGCAGAATGGCACAAACTTTTTTTGCTTACCTGGTGCCAGTGTTTTTATTGGTTGCTTTTTAAAGCTTTACATTATACAGCTAAACTCTAAACCAAATTCTTTCAAGCGTCAGGGATGCCTTCTGATGCTTCACTGAAACTTGCTAATCTTACATCTAGGAGAGACAGGGCAGTGTAGAAACATCTTCCCAGGACTGCTAAGGTAAAAAGGAAAAGGACGGTTTTGTCTGCCCAGTTGTAACTTGTTTCCCAGTGATATTGGCAGCCAGTGTAATTCATGCTGTGCGTGTTTGGATTTATTGCCAAGGATTAGGGGTGGTGATTTCTATTATTTCAGGAAAGAAAATCTTGGATTGATTATTTTTCTTTAAATAATTCTGTTACAGAATGTTTAATTGGTTGCACGTATTAATCATTGTGAGTAGCCTGACTAAAAATGTTTCTACATCTTTAGTTGATTTTTAACCATGGTGGACACACAGAGCCTCCAGTTTCTCTTGCTTTTTAATTTTTTTTAAAACTTGTGGATGATATAATTTAAGAAGGGTATAGTTTAAACTAACTTAATGTCAGACTATTAACGCTTTCTCTAAAAAGTGTCTTTTATGTTTTGAATTATAGTTTGATATACAAAAACTGCGAATCTACTGTGACCCAGAGCAAAATAATCGAGAAACAGTCTGTGAGATCCCGGGATTTGTGAGTATGATAGATGAACTTTTGAGGACTACTTGGCATTTTTTACAAATCACTGTTTAAAGCTGACTCAATGAATTCTTAAAATAAGTAATACTACACTGATTCAGCTGGTGCAAAAAAATACTTGTTACAGGTGCAATATCAAGTGACACAGAACTTGTCTGTTTTCAGCCTTATTTTTGCACAAACATATTTTAAAAGTTTTTCTGGTTTAGATATTTGATGGTGGAAATTTGACAGCAGTATAGAAGAATCTCAGAATCTTCTGTTACAATTTAAGATTTTAAACATTATAAATTAATAAAACTACTAGGTTACAGCAGTGTAAAATACTTTAAATATTACTTTTTAACTTACCTGATATACTTCTTGCTACTTGTCAGGTAATTTAATCTTTGAAATTTTTGTACATAACCAACAAACCTATATTTTTAAATCACCTTTTCCTATCAGAAGTATCTATGCTGATGTCTGTGTTAAATATCCCATTAAGTGAAATGTTGCCAAGATTTCATGAAGTATGTTATGGATAAGACAAAAATAAAATCCCGTTCAGGATTTTATGATTCATGTACACAATTAGGAAGCTTATGGGGATCCTTTGACCTTCTCTTTGCCCTCTTACTTACAGTTAATTTTGCAATGAAATGCAAACAGATTTGGAAACAATTAATGACACACAGTTGGAGCCAGATTTTCAAAAGCATTCAGCTCCCATCTCAAAATATAAGCAAGAGATTGTTTTATACGTACAGTTTCCTTCAAAATGTCCTCCTTTGTTTGGTGTCTGAAACAAACTGAGCTAAAGATAATCAGACACCAGTGTCATACTGTGTAAACCCATATTCTTCACGTTGTGATTTGGTTTAATATTAGGACCATTTTGCCAGTTTGACAATAGAACCTGTGAATCTTCAACATCCAGATACTTTATTTTTTGTCAGACTTGCATAGACCCCCAGCTAGACTGTTTTTCTTCTATTTATTTGGAGCCAGTGTGTCTATTGCAATCAGCACCCTTATTAGGGCTTTTTCAAAACTCACAGCTTTCATTTAAGCAGCGAGTAGGTGGCTGGATTATTAGCTGTTCTGAAATCTGACTGTGTGTGTCAAGAACTAATGGGTTCAGGAACACTTTTGTAAAGTTAGCTTTAAATCCTGAAGTAAATTTAGTATTTGGCTGTTTAACTGCACCACATATCTTTTTGCTCTTTACAAAATAGAAGTAGGATATGAAAAGTAAACAAATGAAAAAGATTTTTGCATAAAGAAAGCAAAGACTAAAAAGTCCATCATACCTTGCATTCTCTGCAATTTGGCAAGAAGTCCAAGCAAAAAGATTGCTTTTTGCCAGTTTAGTTTCACTTGCTGTTGTTGTAAATTAAATTTGGACTTTACCCATGAAATTCTGGACTCCTTCAGAAAATAAAAGTGTTGCATGATCTCCAAGGAGGAGTATGTGGTTTGTGGTTGTATTCTGTCAGTGTGGTTGTGTCAGAGCTCCTGAACTAAGCAGGGGCTGTATAGACTAATTACAGCCTGAATTCATCCCCTTTCCTGGAGATACCTAGCTGCACAGTAATTTTAAGCTCCCTCTATGATCCGTGGAGAAAGATAACCTCCAGAGGTTGCCTAAGATGAAAATTGAATACAGAGGAAGCTGTCTCTCTCCACATTGAAGTCTGTGGTGACTGTGTGCGTTAGAAAACTCCTGTACATGGTGCAGCTAATGGTGGACACTAAACCATTAAGACAGACAATTTCATGGTTGGTATGCTGAAATATTTGGGGATGGATTGTTCTGTGGTGTTGCACATACTGGAAAACTCAATTCAGTTGATAACAGAGTCTAATGCAGTGACACAGGAAAGCGAGAAAAAGCCAGCCTTGCCTCTGTGCTGTGCTGCTGTATGTTTTCCCAGATGATGGATTCAGGCAGAGATCAGAGATTTCAGAAATATTTTGGTACATTCTCTGACATGAATGAGTAAGCACAGGATTTTTTTGATGAGAAGTTACTCCTGGCAAAAGTTTGACCCATCTAAACATTTAATGTGTAAATATTTACATGGTTCAGTATTAATTCTAGTTTTGTCATTGCCTTTTAAAAATTGCTACTGGTAGCGCCTGTTGAAAGACCCTTAAAGGAAATTAACTAAAAATTCATATGCATTGACAGCAGCTGCACATAAGTCTGAGAAAGTCTAAAATTTTAAATTATAATTCCTTGACAGTTACAGCCCTAAATTTATGATTGGTTTTGGTAGTGTTTACAAATAAATGGATTTTGCGTATTACAAATATTGCTGTACTCTTAAACTGTGTTTCTTCTTTTTTCAGAACGGAGAGGTAGGCTCAATCCTAAAGTGCTCAAACTCAGTTTAAGGTAGTATTTGACTTTATATAAACTTCTTACTATTCTAGGGAAAATACCCTTTGTTTTGAAAAGTGGACAGAGGTTTGCTAAGCTTAAAAGTGCTGGATTTCCATTAATTGAACTCTAGTCAATAGGCAAATTAAAAATCAGTTTTCTGAAGAAACCCACATTTATTAGAATAAATGGCCTGTTTTTTTCCCCCGGTTCAATTCAATTGCTCTTATTTGCAGGGCTGGATGCTGTTGCAAAGTGAATGGGGATATGCACAGTCAGGTAGCTGTTACCTGCATCATGCTAATGGGAGCTCCCTGAAGGGGAGCTTGTTTGAAGGTTTAATATGATAGCTTCCCTAACCATCCTTGTAACTCCACTTGGTAGCGTTGCAAAGGAAACATCGATTTGTGTTTTGATCAATCATTTGACCCTGAGAAAGAATTCCATTCAGAGAACATTGTAAAAAGTCTGCATTATTTTAGAAAATATAGGTAAAATGTTATAGAAAGTGTTTTAGATAATAAATACAAAATCTGTTTTTTTTGTATTTTGGATTCTTAAATTTTTGCCTTTCCATAGCTGTAAGAACTTGCTGGGTGAAAAAGAATTCACTGAATCTAAATTCAGCATATATATTTCATACAGATGCACCTAAATTTTGGGTTCCTGACCCTGGGCAAATGGATTTGATCTAGTAGCTCTCCCCTTGCCTGCCTTGGTAAAACACTGAGGTTTCAAGTGGTCTCAATGGTGAGAAGTAAATACCTCAAAAAAAAAAAAAATCTCTAGAGGGTGATGTGGTCTGCCAAGGTTTAGAGTTTACTGCTGTTTGTATAGGGAGCATAGTTTGGAGGAGGTCACCTAACGGTCTTTGGAGGATGGGCACCCTGGGGGCCAGGACTCGTGACTTGTAGGAGTTGGTGGTAGCAGCCATGCCCCACCTTGCCTCAGGTAGCTTTGTAGTTGGGACACATGCCCAGGAGGTAGCAGACTTGGGCTTTACTTTCTTTTCAGGCTTGCTACACATGATAGCATGTCCATCAGTTGTGGTCATTATGCTATACATAATATTTATTAGATTCTTTTTACAAACTTTAATTAAATAGTTATATTTGATAATTGATCACACTTCAAATGATGAATATCAATTAGTTTAGGAGAGAGTTTTGCATGTTGCCAGATATAAAATTATCAAACTATATGACAAAATATTTGTGGAAAAGCAAATAGAGTTTCAGATATCAGCCCAGTATCAGTACTTAATTTTTTATTTATTTTTCTTCTGGGTAAAATGATGAATTCATGCATGCAAAGTAGTTGGAGGGCAATATTCAGGTAAGCAGAAGTTCCAGCTGAACAAGGAGTGAAGGCCAGGACCTATGCAACCTAAGGAAAATCAGCTTCGTATAATGTTATGATATGTTTATTGAATGCTTTTGGCACGTGTATTGATGGCTGGTTTCACTCTTGGTAGTGCATGAATGGTCCTAGTGATGTAGGCTCAACGCCTGCCCCCTGCATATGCCCACCAGGAAAACAAGGACCTCCAGGCCCCAAAGTAAGTTTCCATTCTGTCTTACTGAGTGTATATGACTTTTTTTTTTTCTTTTTTTTTTTTTTTCAAATCTGATGTTGGCCAGTCATAGTCAGGCAGATTAAAACAGTAGGGGACGAGTTCTCCTAGTTCTGGTTTCCGGTGCATGAATATAGTGATTAGGATCCTCAAGGCCAGGTTTTGGTGCCATAACTCCTAATAACACAAATATATCTTTTATTTTTTAAGGAAAATGCTCATGGATGTGAAATTGTGTTTCCTTGCTACTCTTCAGCAAATTATCTTGCACTGTTAATTGTTTGAGAATGAAATGGTTTGCTAATAAAAGTCTTTTAATGGAGAGGTTTTTTCCTGCTTTGTTAAAGAATGGACTAGATGCTTACTGGGAGAGTTCCACCTTAGCTGTTCTGATGACATCCCTTCAGTGTTGGTGAAGGATTAAAATGAGAACCAGACTTGAGTTTCAGATGTCTAACATGGCAAACTCAAATCCCTAGTATTTTGCTGTAGCACCTTTCTCAATAACTGTACTAAGCAGTGCTTCCAGAGTTACTAGCTTGCCTTATAAGGGTAGACAAGAAAACCCCAAACCGCTTGTCTTTCATTAAGCAAATGATTAAAAATCTCTACTCTCCTTATATAAGGGGTTAACAGTCTGCTGCAGCTACCTCAAGTCAAAGGGCTTTTTGCTACAATGGTGAGGGTTTCTAACCAGGGAATTGGAATCCACAAGATGGAGATCATTATTATTTCATGTAATAGAATTTTTGTGATCTTTTACCTTTTTTTTCCTCTTTAGCATATTAGAGAAAAAAGAGAGAGAGAGAGAAGGAAGTATTTATAATTTTAAAAATATTGAAAGCCACATCCTGTGAAGTATGAAGGAGTATGAAATGTCAGAATTAGGGTGACTTATACAATTTTATTTAGATCCCTGCTTCATGGGCAATCTTTCAATTGCATTGCAGTATAATATTTGTTTGGGGATAACTGAATAATGCAGGTGACAAGATGGTGCCTAACACAAAAGACTGCAGAAAGAGTGACAAGGAAGCCAGTTTAAGATTGTATAGGTTATCTTAGTTACAGTATTTCTTAACTTTTGAATACTGGACTTCGGAACTGTATAAATTTAAACTTAATTTGTGTGTTTGTGATATTAATGGAGTACAATAAAATTAACTAAATTAAAACAATTTAAAAATACAAGTAACTGATATCTTAACCTTTTCAAGTTAAAGGCATAAAATTTCATAGTTTAGATAGTATCTTTGAAAGCAAATTTATTTTCGCTCATCTCAAACCTGGACTTCTTAATTTGGACAATAATAATTCTGGATAACCTATTATTAATTTAGCAAATTATAACTGTTGTGCTTCTCTAAAGAGACATTATTCTATATCCTTTCCCATTTAGTTCAGCATTACATTTCTGTGGTTCATATGTGAAAAGATGTTTTTTCACAGTCACACTGAAAGCTGGTTTCCTGTTTCCCTCCTAACGTCCTCCCTGTTTATAACAATTCTGCAGTTGTAACTGACCCGCAGGTCTGTTGATGGTTCAGGCTGAAAAAAGTGGTACCTGCTTAACGCTCCTGTAGAAGTAAAATGTTTTTATAGATCAAGTCTCACTGGATTTTCCTGGGCTCAGATCAAGTCCGTTAGTAAAATAAACAGAGAACGTTAATACCCTAGGAGGATATATTGAGAAGGAAGTTAAGTTCCTGCTTTCTTACCATAAACATGAAGCCCAGGGAACCAACTTCTCTTTTCCTTTAACATGGTCATAACAGAGGTTACCAAAATAATTGCAAAGGCCTTATAAGAAGAAATCTAAAAGAATATCTTTTTTAGATAGCAGTAAGTGTGTGGAGAGGAGTTTAGTAGTTAGCAGGTTTTAACCCTGGCTCCTGCCTTTCCAGTGTTTTGCTTTAAGAACTAGACTTAGCTAAAGCAGGTGAGAGTTTTCTTCAGAGTAGAACTAGATTAACAAGGTTTTAATAAAGATTTTTTCATCTATTTGATGAAAAGTGTTTTTATTTCTCTTGATTAAGATGAAAGCATTTGAGATGATGGGCCAAACTTGTGCTGTAACTGAGCGTGGGCTCACTTCTCCAGTCCTGCATGAGAAGTTAGGGAGAATTTTCCCAGGGAGGGGGTTACAAGATCAGTTCTATTTTGCTGTAGGAATTACTCCTCAATGGCAGGTATCTGGGCTTGCAGCCACTGTTTTGTGGAATATATTAGGGTTAAGGTTGCTCTGTGCTAATTTTAAAATGTTCTTTCATATCTTTTGTGTGTTAACCTTCTCCATAGGGTGACCCTGGGCAGCCTGGGAATCATGGTTATCCTGGTCAGCCTGGTCCAGATGGTAAGCCTGTGAGTACTAAAAACTTAGTCATATATTGTAAATGCAAAACTAACAGGAGAAAAAACATGTACTACTGATATCAGATTTTCAAATTTAGATGATTTTGTCTCCATTCTTTGAAACTGTGAATGTCACTTAAGCGCTATCTGAATGTAACAATTCTATGAATATGTTAATCATAGTATTTTTGTTTCAAGCTAAAATATTGTAAATATGATAGCATGAGTTAGTCACTTGTAAAGCAGAGAACAGGCTATGAGTGCTCCTGTTGGTCTTTGCATCAGTTTGCAGCAGTTAAGTTTTCACCTTCTGACCTTCAGTCTTTTCTGCTTAAGAATTTTTGCATTAGAAAGCACTTTAGGGCAGCTAAAATCCTGTCTATTTTGTTTTAGGGATTGTTTCTCATGTTTAAGCTTAGTTCATTTAATGTCTTTTTAGTCTGCCTCAAGTAGTCCATCAAAATATGTAGAAATGCATATACAGTGTTAAAAATACAGATATTTTGCCGTTCTAAACATTATGTGTTATAACATACATCATAAAAATACCTGTATTTTTCTCTTACCCTAGATTTTACTTTTTAAGCTGGCATTTCCCATTAGTATGGATGGTAAAGACTGGAAGAAAGTAGATGAATAACATATGTCCCTAAAATAAAAATGACAGATATAGCAGTGGCTCATCTGGTCTTCATGGTTAACACTTTTTATTGTAATAAAAGCAAATAAATATATAAAAATAGCCTAAGGTTTCATTAAAAAATATATTAGATCTCTGAATCCAATTGGAAGCCTCTAAGATACTGACAGCCAAGCTTCTCTGTTGAGTAAGGTTTTGTTAACAGCCTGCAGTCTCTATATCACCAAAGTGGTGGTGTGCATGTGCCTCTGGTGTGCTAAGAGAAGGCAGGCCAACAGCTGGGAGACTTGACCACCCATGTTTCTTTTCAAAGAATATGGCCTCTGATGTTGCTTACTATTCATTGTAAGCTATTGTCGTGGTTTAACCTCAGTCGGCAACTGAGCACCACACAGCAGCTCACTCACTCTCCCCCTCCGCCCCAGTGGGATGGGGGAGAGAATTGGAAGAGTAGAAGTGAGAAAACTCGTGGGTTGAGATGAAGACAGTTTAATAATTGAAATAAAATAAATTAAAATAGTAATAATAATAATAGAAAGTGCAAAGCAAGTGATGCACAATGCAATTGCTCACCACCCACCAACCGATGCCCAGGCAGTCCCCAAGCAGCGCCCCCCCCGGCCAGCTTTCCCCCAGTTTATGTACTGAGCATGACGTCATATGGTATGGAATGTCCCTTTGGCCAGTTTGGGTCAGCTGTCCTGGCTGTGCCCCCTCCCAACTTCTTGTGCCCCTCCAGCCTTCTTAGTCGGTAGAGCATGGGAAGCTGGAAAGTCCTTGACTAGTGTAAGCACTACTTAGCAACAACTAAAACATCGGTGTGTTATCAACATTATTCCCATCCTAAATCAAAATCACAGCACTGTGCCAGCTACTAGGAAGAAAACTAACTCCATCCCAACTGAAACCAGGACAGCTATTATATTTATATTAAAAAAAAAAAAAAGGAAAAGGTAAAAGACGGTTGGGAGCATTAAAAATAGTTTGCTTCTGAAAAGAGGGTAATTTCTCTGCTTGGATACCAAAAACAGGAAAAGAAAAGTGCATGCATGTACTAGAAATTGTTAATTCATTGTAGCCTTTCATTCTTATTTTGAGGACTAAATTTTATGGTTGAGTCCTTACGTTGTAGTGTTATTTTGAAATCTCCATGGTGAAGTAGAAGAGAAGGTAAGCATCATGTCTTGAAATCTACAGAAAATACAATTAGGGAGGACTCCCAAATACTATTGAAAATAAAAATATAAGATGTCCCAAAACATTAGAAAATATAAGTGGATGAGTGCAGAGAAGACAAAATCATTTATGAAAGAAACATTGGATTATGGACTGGGGAACTAATAGTCTGTGGGTTTGGTTGAGACTTAGAAGGGATGTTCAGTTATTTTAGGCCATTTTGGTCCATACTTGACAAACTAGAGAGACTTCAGAGAAGGGCAACAAAGGGCTGGATCAGACCTTTCAACTTCACTCTTCGTAATTTTTCTGTCCTGTGGGAAGATTCATGAGGATATTGTAACTAATCACGTCTTTCCAAAATCTGCCTTTGCTTATCGATTTTAGTACCTCTAGCGTGTTATTCCTACTAAAAAGGCACTACCCACCAACTTTGACAGCTTCATAAAAACACCTAACATTCCATTTCTGTTAAGAATTTTTAATACTAGTGATACATTTCATTTCTATGTCAGCTAAAGATGGAAACGGTGAGATTGATACTTACTTGGAAGTGCGTATGCTGTAAGGGTGATAAATATTACCAGTTACAAAGAGAAAGCTCCATGCTACACATCATAAAATGTTCACATTTCTCCTCTTTTGTTGCTTAGTTACGTGTTGGCCTTTTCTTAGGGATAGCAGCTGATTCATTTAACTGTGGTGATTCCTTTTGGAAGCAGAGTTAGTTTGATAGGAAAAAAATAGGCACTGAAAACAAGAAATGCAATTGTTTCTAAAAATTGAAAATTCTTCTGTTTTAAAATATGGAACTTGGTATATTGAAACCTGGCCATGGTAGCCCTGATGGCCGAGGAGAGCAGTGAGTACATGAATTTTGCAGTAGTTCCACAAGCAAAGATCCTAATTTTTCCTGTGATATAAAAACATTTTTATAGTTTTGCTTTTGTCTTAAACAGCTTTTGATATCTATTAGCTTCAAAGTGTTTTGGAACTAGAAATGGAGAAAACAATCTGAACTGAAATTGCCAGTGCTATAAAATACTACATTTTGGTTGAAGACAAGCATGAAAATGCTGGTTTTAAAATAGGAATGGGTGGAATCTGAGCTGGGGAAGTGTGATCTAATCAGAATAACTTTTCAGTTGATTATTGATGGTGCTTAAGCTTCTG